CATGAATCTGGAGTGTTGTCAACAGCACAGTCTTGTAACGTTAGGTATGATAACTTTATTTTATCAGAAGTAACGAAATTAATCCAAAACTTTATCACTCTTAATCTGGCACTTACTCTTAAGGGAAATAGTCCCAGTTCTGATCTGCACGCGTTGTTTGATGCCCGTTTATTGACTCCTAGTAACATTTTGCAAAACTTTATATGCACAGCTTCTGCGGGGTCGTTTTTGATGTTATCTTTGATATCAGCACCCCACACCTCACTTCCATATAGTAGGATAGGTTTGATTAGAGAGTTAAATAATTTAATGGTTAGATATATGTCTGTCCTAAAGTGATCTCCGAGATCTCTTCTAAGCTTAAACAAAGCTTTTAACGCTATCTTCTTTAGTTCTTCTCTTGCATTGCTAAAGGTTCCAAAAGCGCTAAAGTATAGTCCTAGATATTTATAGCTTTTCACATTTTCAAGTTTAGCATTTTTAAGATAAAATTCAAAATTACTCATTCTTTTGCCAGTGTTATTAAAGACCATGACTTTAGTTTTTTCCAGATTAGTGTATATTTTTGATACTTCGCAAAAGTATTGCAGTCTGTTTAATTGATGTTGGAGACCCGTTTTCGTTTGCGATATTAACACTAAATCATCAGCGTACAAAAGTCCTTTTATTCTATAATTATTTGCCACTGTTAGATAAGACGCATCATCATCGAGAACTTCTGGTAAATCGTGTAGAAAAATATTGAACAGTGTGGGAGACAGCATACATCCTTGTTTAACACCTGTATAGCATCTAAAGCTCCTAGTAACGGTTTCGTTTATTTTCACTGATGATTTATCGTTGGAATACAAGGACGCTAGTACAGCATAGAAGTTGCCTGATATTCCAATCTTCCTGATTTTTTCAAATAGCTTCTCTCTTGGAATCGAGTCAAACGCTTTTCTGAAATCCACAAAACACGTAAATAAATAGTTTTTCGTTTTTTTCTTTAATTTTTCTTTTCACATATTTATCTATCAATGTTTTCAAAATAAGTATATTATCCATCGTACTGTGTTTAGATCTGAACCCACATAGTTCATGGGGTAGTATGCCATTAGTTTCTATAGGTAAATTCATTGGGTGACGAGTGAATTCCGCGTTGAATTCACGAGTAAAGCCGATATCGCACGAATCGCTAATACCTTGAATCTGAAATCTTGAATACTTCAATTTTAAAACGGGGAAAAATAAACAAAAAAGGATAAAAACGAGCGTGCGGTTGAAAAAAATTGTTTT